TCCCTCCGGTCCCACCTCAGGGCATGGCCCTCACACAAGGGCCACAGTGTGTTGAAACAGGTGATTTATACCCCACGCTGCCTCAAAGCTGCAAGGTCCCTGTCCGACCCCCTGGTACCCGCCCCTCTAAACACAACAGTTGTTCTCAGAACAGCGGAGCTCAAAGAGGGCAGATGGGTGCTGCTCTGCTTCCGTGGCCACAGATGTCCTGGGGCCACTCCTCTGGTTTGAGCCAGCTTTACTCCCCATCACTCTGCCTGCTGGGGAGCAGGGCTCACGGCCCAGGGCCTGGACCCCACCACTCCGGCTCAGGGCTTCTGTCCAACGGGCCGTCAGCAAGTGCTTGAAAATCCTTTCAAGGAGGAAGGGCCAGCTTTTCCTGCCCGCCTGCGGCTTCACCACGTCTCACGGGTCACGGCTCTGGGGACTGCGTGAAGCAGCACTGGGACCAGGGAGACCTGCTTGGCCAAGGGCCCTTCCGGGCGGACCAGCCAGCAACGGACATCCCAAAAAGGCTCCCGGGCGGCCCTCCCTCCAAGCCGCACTCAGTGGGAAACCCCGGGGGCAGGGCCGCCCACCCAGCCCTCACTGCGGTCAGCACCCATGAGTAGCCACACGCCTCTGGGTCCCCAGGACACATCCTGGGAGGGACCTGCTTGCCAAGGGACCGTTTGATCCCTGCGGCCCCAGACACGTGGGGAGACACTCACCCGAGAAGCTGGCAAAGAGCCGGCAGAACTGGGAGAACCTGTTGCGGTGGAGCCACTGCTGGGCATCCTGCGTGGAGGCTGAGGGGAGCAGGTGCTGCGGGCAGAGGGGGGCCGTGAGGGGCGCCCGGCCTGCGGGGGGACAGGCGCCCGGGGCCCGCCGCAGACACTTACGTCACTGCCCACGGGCGGGCCTCCACGGGGTGAGTCGGAGAGCTGTTGCTGCAAGGAAGGGGGCGTGAGCGGCCAGGATGCTCTGGTCCCCCGCCGGAAGCACTCCCCACCGGCCTGGGATCCGGGGCTCGTATGGGTCGAAATGCAGGCAGGAGTCCTGCTCCACCCCGAGAACCCTCATGAAGCCCTTCGTGTGGATGAGGGTTTTGATTAGCTACGCTGCCCTTTCCCCAGCCCCCAGGCTCTGGGGTGGCTTTGGCCAGAATTTCCTCCCATCCCGAGTCCCCTCCAGGAGCTGGGCTGAACAAAGGGCAGGCTGACCGAAAAGACTGGGCCCGCGCCCCACAGGGACTCAGGGCCTGGACGGCAAAGGGCCACCCGAACACAGCAGAGGGCAGCGGAATCCCACAGGGAACTACTCCGCAGTGAGCCCCCAGCCTGGCACCGTCCACGAAGAAGCCATGCTCATGTTTCCCCGCTGGGGGGCACAGACCGGAACACCTGGGTTTTTAAGTCGAGAGCCATACGTTTAGCCAGCCTTCCCAGATGGACGGTGGTGACGGCACGTCGTGAATGTCCCTCATGTCAATGAACTACCTTCTTAAAAGCGGTAAGGTTTACATCATGTACATTTTACCACAATGAGGAGAAATAAGACCCTTGCAGCGGTGACCTTTAGACCCGCCATTCAGTGACCACGGGGGGTGCTGGGTACTTCACTCACATCCCCCAACCCTGCATGGAACCCACACTCCCTGGGGGCTGGGGACACGGAGGCTGCGGGGCTCGAGGGACTTATCCCCAAAGGTGCAGGTTTAGGACTAGGTGTGCCGAGCCTGAATGTCACGGCTGTCCCACCTGCCCCTCTCAGGGAGGGCGGCCTCCCCTCACCTTGCAAATGAAGTTCATGTCTTTTTCTTCATTTTTTTTTAAATTGAAGTATAGTCAGTTTACAACGTTGTGTTATTTTCTGGTTTAAGCACAGTGATTCGGTTATACTCAAGTTCACGTCTTGCTTGCCCATTAGGAAAGTTCTGCCTGCCAAGCACGGGCTCCCAGGAACCGTGTGTTCTGCACTCACCTATTAAACCCGCCTGGCATTCCCCCTGCCTCACCCCTGCCCCAGGACCAGGACGGACAGAGCCACCACAGTGATGCTGTGGCCTCTGCACCCTGGCACCTTGGAGTGGCATGCCTTTGCACAGCTGGGTGACCGGCAGTGAAGCCACTTCTGTGTGGCAAGCCCTGACACCTGGGGCAGGGAGGACCCTGAGCTGGGTCCTCACACACAGGGCCTGCCAAAGAGCCGAGAAGGGCCTTCCAGCCTTGAGGGAATCCAAACGCCCACCTCCAGAGGCCCCCAGGGACTAAGAGGTGGCCTCGGCCCAGGTAGGGGGTCGTCTGCAGGCACCTCAGGAGGCTGACCCGGCGCCCCCGCAGGCCAGCCCACTTAACCCGGGGAGGGAGGGGGCAGTGGTTTCTGGGCTGCTGCCCCACCAGACGGGCTTTCTGGAAGGGTGCCCACACACAAAACGGTTGTGAACGCAACACCAGTGACCCCTCTGAAGCCCAAATGGATGCCCTGCTACAAAGGAGGATGCAGGAGAGGCCACCCATGTCACCTCGGGGACACAGAGGGAGGGAGGCCACACGTACCCTTCGCCAAGGCCGAAGCTGCTTGGAGAGCCGCTGTAGCTTGGCGGGGAGGCGCTGGTCACCTGGTAGGCCACGTCGGGCCACGGGGAGCACTGCAGGGAGAGCAGAGGGCGGCAGTGGTACCAGAGGAGCTGGACCGGCAGCGACGCTGAGCCCCACGCCGGCGTCCACTGGGGCCCACTGTGAATCTCCAGTCCTCCCACACCCAATCGCAGGTACCCAGTATCCACGCCAGCCAGGGACGTGCGGGTTGCCGGGGCCACACCAAAGAAATCAAAGAGGGCAGAGAAGAGACCTAATGGTCAGCACGTCATCCCCAAAGTGAGCAAAGCATGATGCGTGTCTCTGAGCTTCCAAGGAGTCAAACCAAAGGCAGAAACCACGCCGGTCACGTGATCCCCGGGTCCACAAGAAAAGAGAGAGGAACTAAAGAGGCCAGTTGCCCACAGGCAGGTCTTCCCGGTGCAGACAGTGGATGTAAGTGCATGAAATCGGGGCCCTGGGCCAGAGGCCACGTCCAACAGACAATCATCAGTAAGGTTCAATGTCAGAGTCTGCGGACGGGCCTTGGCCAACCGGAGGCATTCCTCAGTCATCCTCTCAGAGCCAGGGAGACACAGAAACACGAAAGACGTGGTCCCTGAACACAAGGAACTTCTTGTGCAGAAGCCAAAATGAACACAAGAGACTCTCCCAGAGAAGCAAAAGCTTTTGTCTGTTTGGGGGAGGCCAGGGGACAAGAATTCACTTCTTCCCTTCCCGCGATGACACCTCTTTGGAGAGGACCAGCCTGAAGCATTCCTGACGACTGACAGACCACAGGGTGGGTAAATATTTAACTCTGTTCCGAGTGTGGGCTGGAATTTGCTGGTGCTAAATCCTAGAGCCTGGGGAGGAAGCCAATGAGCTGACACAAGGGAGCTCGGCAGTTCACAGGGTCACCAGCCAGGTGGGGATTTCAACACCTGGCCAGTGACAGGGGCCTGGACGGACAACGCCTGGGGCACAGCAGGCCCTCCCCTCCAGCAGGGGCATCCAGAGCAGAGCCGAGGTGGGACGGGAAGGAGGGGGGTCCTCAGGCAGAGAACAGTGGGTGCAGGAGGGTGATCAGGGCGACCACATCACCAGCCCAAGCCGGGACCAGGCCCAGGAGTGCTCCCCTGTCCAGTGCGGGCCGGCTCTGCGCCTGTGAGGGGGGCAGGGCTCTTCCTGCACCAGGGGTCAAAGGCCACGGTGGCCCCACTCAGAGGAAAGGCCAGGAGACACCTGTCTGCACCAGAAAATTAGCTTCATACTGTCTCGTTCCAAGTACTGTTTGCACACAGCTTATCTCACACACACACCCCCAGAACTGGGCCACTGTCCTCCCAGCACCCGTGCCAGGGCCTCACCCTTCCCCCAGCCTGACCACACCGGGGCAGCTTGCCCGGCGGCACCCCCCGAGGCCCTTCTGAGAAAGTCAAAGGGTTCACTGAACAAACCCCAACGCCTCACGGCTGCTCTGCTGCGTAACACAGTGGCGAAGAGCTGTTAAGAAAGTGAAAAACGAAAACAAGAGTGGAGCCCAGTAACAGGCAGCCGCAGCAGTGGCCCCTCGGGAGGAACACGGGCGTCTGAGGAGCAGCCCGGACGGAGGGGCGCTGGCGCGGGCTCCAGCCAAGCGAGATCAGGAGGGAGCACGCCCCACGCCCACCCAGCAGCGACACGTGGCGCCGCTCCCTCTGACCCAGCCGTCCACGCCGAGGACAGAGTCACTCCCCACATGCAGAACTTCACGTGCACAAACGTGCCCAGCGCCTGTCTGAGATGACGAGAGCCTGGAACAGCCCGGCGTCCACGCAACGAAGGCTACACAGCTGGACAAAGAACCAGAAAGCCCTTACGAACAGACAGGAAACGGACTCCAAGACGTGCCACGAAATAAAGACAGCAAATCGCAGGACTGGGTGTGCGCGCACGTGCGGTTAGTGACAAAAGCAGGCGTCGGGCCATGAGTAAAATGGTTTCACCCGCAGAGAGCATCAAGCCAGAGACACAAGGAGCCGGAGACGCCGGCCGCCCTGGGAAAGAAACCTCAAGGCCGGACAGTGTTGGAGGGAGACTTTCTGACACAGATGCTCTTATAGCTCTTGAATTTGGACCACATGATATAACATCTATTCAGAAAAATAAAAATAATCTAATTCTGAAACGTGCAAATGGCAACAGAGTTAGAAGTTACTTGGAAACATCCCAGATGGACAGCAGGCCATGTCAGCTGAAGGCACCTCCGGACACGGGAGCACACCACGGCACAAGGGACACTCACCCTAAGCGGGCCCCTTCCCAAGAGGCTAAGCCATGGCGCCCTCACCTCCGCGAGGATGGTGGTCTCGTAGGACGGCTGGTACTTCTCCTTCTCCTGGGCTGTTCGTTTCTCCATCTTCTCCCGGTCAGTCTTCTGTTTCCGGTCGGCACCCTTGGGCTGTACATGCACAGCATGGGGGTCCGGTTAGTTCAGAGCCAGCGGAGGCGGCCCTCGGGGGTTCCGGGCTGAGCAGGGGGGCCTGTCTGTTCCCGCCTCTCCCGGACCCAGGACCCAAGGAGGAGCTCAGGGACCTGAAAGCACCCTCTGGCCTCCCTGGCCTCAAACACCCGGTCCCCCTGCCCTGCAGGCACTCAGAGCCCGCACCGGGGCCACACAGAAGAGCTCGGACAAGACCTTTACTGAGGCCACTGCTGACCGAAAAGGCCCCCAGGAGCCTTCCTTGGGCCACCCCGGGAGAGTGACAGTGAGTGCAGGGCCGGAGCTGCGGGTCAGGACTCAGTCTGCACTCGCAGGCTGTGAAATCCCACGCATGTTGTAGGGGCCTCCTTGCCCCTGACTCCCAGCTTACACTCAAATATGGGGTCACACCCATCCTGGCATGGCCTGTCCTGGGCGCCCACAGACCTGAGGGACCTCCAGGTGCCCAGGCCTCACAGGTGCTACTCCTCCCCTCCTGGACAGACAAGGAAACCGGGCCTCCAGCGATTCACTGAGACGCAGAGGGACCACGTGCCCAGCAGGTAAGATCCTGGTGCCGGGCAGGGGGGGCCTGGCCCTGACCCTGACCCAGCAGGCCGGGCTGATGGGGACAGTCTTGACTTCACTGGGACCGTCACCGCCCACCCTGTTCAGGGCCTGGCTGGCGGGTTCGGATCTCAGGTCTTCTCTGTGCACACTGACCACTCGTGGGCAGTCAGGGAAGAGGATCTGTTCTCGAGCTGGACAGCTCATGCTGGGTGCCTTCCTCGGGCCATGGCTCCCAGCTGGGGGGGTTTAGGAAATGGCTCATGGGGTGATGCCCAAGGTGGGAAGCTATAGGGGGGGCCTCTGGGGACACAAGTGACAGGCCCAGTGTCCAGGGAGAGAGCCAAACAAGTGGCAGCCACACCCATCACCTGGTCTCCCTGCTCCACCTCCGCCCTCCAGTCTCGGCCCAGAAGCCTCAGGGCAGGGCAGTGTTACTGCCGGACCCTGCAAGACTGCATGTGGGTGCACTCGGCCCAGCGAGTCCTACAGGGGATCTCCTGACCTGACTTCGACAGAGAATCTAACGCACAACTGCAGTCTGGGCCAAAGTGCTGGGAGGAAAACAGTCTAAAGACGTGCAAATCCCATCAGTGAGGGAAGCCGGAGGAGCATGGGCCCGGGGGTGAGGGGCCGGCGGGCAGTGCGGAGTCCAGCAGAAGCCTGGGCTCGGGGCTCAGCCGGTGTCCTACCTTGAACACCTTGATCTGGCAGCTGGCCGAGTGCAGGTGCTCCGTGTACTCCCCATTCTCGTTCTGCTTAAAGGTGTCGATCTGCACACGGAAGGGCACCCCCTTCTCACCCCCGTGCTTCCGCGGGGTGAACTCCGTGCTGATGCAGTGCACCTGGACGGGAACCCAGGGCTGGTGGTGAGGGGTGGGCCGAGGGCGGGCTCAGGACCCCACGGGGTCCCCCCAGGTGGAGGGCTCCATCCCGCATGGGCAGGTGGAGGGCTCTGTCCCACGTGGACAGGTGCAGACCTGCCTCCCCCTCCCTGCCCTCCCTCTCCCCTCCACACACACAGGACACCACCCTCTCTGGCCCTGGTCCCTTGCCCTGGGAGGCCCTGCCTGACCAGCCATGACCTTGCCAGCCATCGCTCCAGATCACTGACCCTCACCCTCGCCCCTCTCCCTTGGCAAGTCCCACTTGCAGAGCAAGGACCACAGCTCAGTCCCTGACGCCTAGTGTCCAGGTTACTCAGGCCGGGCCAGAAGCTGGACCATCGCTCTATTTCTGCTAAGTAACTGCTACCCAGAAGGCACTTCGTGTATATCTGTTAGGGTGCTGTAGTAATACTATAGTAATACAATATACAGTGTTGTAATAATGAGCAGTAACATTATATCTTTAAAATAGAATGAAAACATTGTAATTATGAAAGGAAAAAAGATGGCTAACTTTTACCGAGCAGTTACTGTGGCCGAGCATTGTAGTGATGGCTTTATGTTCAATGTCTAATGTATAAGACAGGTGGGAAAACCAAGAGGCTCAAATGGGGACACAGCGGGTGAGAACCAGAGGCCAGCCCGGAATCTCGGTGCCCGGCCATGCCCCCAGGCAACTCGACCTTCCACGACGTCCACACAAGGCTGGGTCAACAATGGCACTTGATAATTGAGTAATTTAGAAACAATTACCAAAAAGTTTTACTTCAAACTATGTATGCTAGGATATTTTTATTTTGTTAAAAGCTTGTGTACCGATAAGCAAGACCCACGCAGGATTCTAGAGCATTTCAAGTCCTTTTCCAGCCCCAGGGACCAGGTAGCTCTGTGACTCTGAGCCACACTCACACGTCCTCACCCTTCTAGTCTCCTTCCCGGCAGCAGGGCCCTGAGGACGGATGGTTCTGAGAAACTAGACAGAGGACCCCGGAGGTCTGGCTTCTTTCTCCCTCCTGCTCACCTGAATGAACGCAGAGGCTCTCTTGGAAGGGTCCCACAAAAACTCGACTGCGTTCAGCTGGGTCGGGCTGGCCCTGGGGTCCAAGATACCAACAGACAGTGGAATATCTGTACATACATACACACACACAAAAGTGCAATTGTCAGCCACTCCCAAATACTCAGGGATGGGCTCTCATTACAGGTCCAAATTCTTTACACAATCGGAAATGCCAGAAGTTCTGAAAACTATGTTCTGCATAACTCAGTTGGCAGAACGCCTGACTTGAACTGCCACGAGGCTATTAGACTTCATCCCATTTTGTGTGAACGGCCATTCTGTCCTGCCGCAGAAATATTACTGTGCTGGGTTGCCTGTTGGCGGGTTACCCAGCGCTACAGGTCTACACAAACTACTATCATTCCAGCTTCTGGATTCCAAACCCCACCTGGCCCCAAGGGTCGTAGATAAAGACAGTGGACCACTGCCTGGGCCCCCATTCCACTCCCGCTGCCCTCTCGGCAATGCCCACCCTTCCCTTCGCCACTGGTCACAAGGCTCGAAGGCAAACTCCCTCCATGAAGGTCCCTGAATTCCACGTGCCCCCCCACCCCCGAAAGGGGAACTCCCCAGGCCAGGCCTGGTGGCAGAGTCGCCTCTCCCAGCTCCCCCACGGTTTTACACAAGACTGGAGTGTGCTAGGATGCTAAGATGCCCTGGACAGGCGTGGGTCCAGATGGCGACCAGGAAGAACCCCCATGTGCCCAGAGACTCACCGATGTCCAGGATCCGGTCCCCCGGCCGGCTCCACCGCCAACCTTCCAGCTGCTGGTGCTCCGTGTACTGCAGCCGGCGGTCGTGGAAGACCACACGGATGGTGCTCTGGGGAGGGAGGCCGGTAGGGAACAGCTGAGCATGGACCCAAGAGGAACCCATCTTCCACCCTCCCTGAGCCAGAAAGTCCCACCTTTGAAGCCCCCTCCTGGCGCCGCCTCCCCTGCTCTCAGTTCCACAGGTACTCTGTCCTCAGAGCCCCAGCCACACCAAGGACAGGACAAAGGACGGCCCTTCCCCTGGGTTACCAAGTCCTCTACATCCAGGGTAACTTAGCAACCCTCCGTGCAGATGAGCAGACTGAAGGTCAGCACGGGGCAGAGCCAGGCTGCAGCCGGGTCTGTGTGCCCAGCTCCGCTCCAGCAGCCGGCTGCCCGAGCCCCTCCGACCACACCCCGCCCCCGGGGCCAGGAACCCACCCCTCTGCCCAGAGCTCCCCTCCAGACCTCTCAGGACCAAGCCCCAGCTGCTCGGTGCCCAGGGTGGGGTCAAGGGCAGCCTCCAGCCTCACCTTCACATATTTTGTGCTCAGATCTTGAAAGTCTCCCAGCTTCCTATTCTCCAGCAGTCGGATTTCATAAGATTGACCTGGAGGGGGGTCAACAGTACATTTTCGAATTCTGTTTTCAGATTCGGGGCTCACCAGCTAAAGACCATATCAACATTCTCCATGCCCACCCAGGCCTCCCGGCCCCAGGGAGCAAAGCAGAGAAGTCCCAGGACAGCTCAGTCGTGCTCTGGACTGGACACCCTGGTTTGCCCATCTGGCCTGGTGGGGCCTGGGGCTCCCCAGGTAATGCTCCACATGACACACAGAGAGAGATAGAGACAGAGAGACAGCACCTCTACCATCTTCAGAGAAACAGAATCCAAAACAATACAGTTTGCATCAAACTTACGGACACAGCTTCCTATTTCTTGGTAAAGAACACCCCCCACAGCCCCCATGCACTTGGCTGGGGAACACAAGATGCTTAAATCCATGTGAAGTAACCAACCATACCTTACTGGGAGCAGGTTTACAGGAACAAATGAAAGCCTGTTAAACATTGTCTCTAATTGCAGAATGAAAAGCATTTTCTTCAGTTAAAAGAATTTCATGTATTCGAAAGGGTGTGTGTAGGGTTCTATTTGGTGACAAAACCAGCACAAGCCAGTTAAAGAATGTAAATGGGGGGGGGAATCCATCCCTAATAACAACCCCCAACTCAGAAGTGTCTACGAATAACCTGAAGAAAACTAGATATGTTTATTCAAAGATACAATATAGCTTGTGTAAGCAGGATGCACCACATCCCCTCTTTGGAAAGACCACATGGTAAAGGATCCAACTTCTTAACCAAAGAGGCTCAGCCGCAGCTCTCAAACCCCCTAGCGCACATCACAGCTTAATAAAGGATGTCCTACAAATAAGAAATTATGTAACAACCAGCCTTGGTACACCTGATTAGAATGTATTAAAAATTTTTTTAAATAATGATAGACTCACAGGAAGTTACAAAAATAGTACAGAAAGGTCCTGAGTACCCACCTTCCAGTCTCCCCTGGCGTTGGCATCTGATGTAACTAGGGTACATTACTGAAGCGCACCAGGGCTCAGTACACTTAACTAACCTCCAGACTTAGGTGGATTTCCCTGGGTTCTGCAGGCTAATCCATTCAAGTTACCACTGCATTGAGAAGTTCATTTCCCAAGGCTTTATTTTAACATGAATGGCTACTTCTCTGACACTGTAGGGAAGGACTTTCTGAACCTAGGATCAGTGGGGGAAGGGAAATCTAATGTAGAGAGAGATCAAGAGAGGTATCTATATAAATGCATACAGCAAACCAGAAATGCACAAACCCAGTGCTCAACAGTCTTGATGTATCTGAAAAGCAATGATTAGAGAAACAGTAAGACTCTCTGGAGGGGGATCCGTTGTAGCCCCCATGCTCTCATCTCCAGAACCTTTGAGAGTTACCTTTTATTTGGAAAAAAGTTTTTGCAGGTGTGGTTAAGTATCTCAAGATGAGCAGGTCATCCTGGTTGGCCCTGGAGGTCCCTGCAAGTGTCCTTAGGAGAGACACACAGAGGACACAGGGAAAAGAGGCGGCAATGTGACCACGGGAGCAGAGATGGGACTGAGGCGGCCGTGAGCCAAGGAGTGCTGAGGCCACCCAGTGCTGGAAGAGGCCGAGATCAGATTCGCCCCTGAAGCCCCCAAAGGGAGCCCAGATTTCCAACTTCTGGCCTCCAGGACTGTCAGAGAATAAACTTATGCTATTTGAAGCCAACGTGCCTTGTAGTAATTTGCCAAAGTAGCCACAGGAAACTAACATATTCCCACCCAGAAGATGAAATTCACTCCTTCATGCAAGCGCTGGCTGAGCAGTAACGGCCGTGGGCCAACATGGAGCAGACCCTGGGGACACAGAGCCTGTCACCCTCGCTCTGTGGGGCCTGCAGACGACGCTGGCTGAGCTCAGAAATGCCGGCCCGAGACCCCCTTGCTCAGGAAGGTGGACCCTCCTCCACCCGGGCGTCACCAGCCTTCCTCCAGGACCAGTGAAAACCTCCATGCCGGGCACATCCCATGGGAAGGAAGAGGCTCCCACCCTAGACCCTGGTCCCGCCCACTCGCTAGCTCAGACGATGCGGCTCAGGGAAGGGTCTCGCTGATCTGAGCGACACAGCTACCTTCCTGAAAAAGCCAGGTTTCGAACACACATTTATTTCCGGGCTCCTAAGCCAACACTCCCTGGACAGCATGAAAGGGAGCCTCCTACCCGAACTGGTTTTTCCAGTGTCCTCCGCCTCCCCCGCGAAGAATGCAGCCACTCTGGCAGGAGGCCCAAGGCCCCAGTGGTCATTACCACCGGTTCAGGGCGCCCCAGGGCCCAATGAACACTGACCCCAGGCTCTGTAGGGCAACCTCAGCTCAGGCCCAGGCGGATCTCCCGTCCCACAGAGCAGTTCCAGAGCCTGAACTCGACAGCAGCGACTCAGAGACCAGAGCTACTGGGTGGGCTGTAGGCCCAGGTCACGGGCCTGCCTCCCTCACCGGCAGCAGGGACCTGACCCACGGCTCCCCCACCACAGCTCCCTCCGTGCTCTTACACACACACACTCCGGCCACCCCGCACCAACCGGGCTCCGACCTCCCTCCCCAGCCCTCTGCCTCCACCCCAATACAGGGGGCCCCTCGCCTGGCTCTCCCCAAGTCACACATGCACTGGTGAGTGAAGGCAGGACAGCTGAACTGACCAGGGGGCACAAAGGCATTATGGCTCCTTGGCCGGCTCACTTCAGGGCATGGGTGGAGGCCTTGGAAGGGGGCTCTGGGTCTGCTTTACTCATCAGGGCAGGAGGGTCTCAGCAGTGTTCTTTGCACCCTGGTCCGTGCTAGACTACAGGGCTTGCAAAAGTGAGACACTCCCGCCCTCAAAGGGTTGGTTGGCAACCTTCTGGGGTACCTCAGACAGTACCGGAAAAGCACTAACATCAGGCAGAACTGGAAAAAAAATCCTCCTAAGAAACGACAGAGGTCTGGGGTGGGGACACTCATTTAGAATAGGGGTGGGGTGTCTGAACAAGGAGGTAACATCTGCACGGACTCTGATGAGTGGGCAGGAGGCGAGGCGTGGATACGAAAGTGATCACCAGCAGAACCATAGCGAGGAGGAGGAGGGACAGGCCAGGCATGGGGGGACAACCTAACAGCCTCCTGGGCGCTCACCCAGCAGGAAAGTCTACCCAGGTATTAACTCACCTGAATCAGCGGCAAAGTTTAGCCCCACCCGACAGAGGAGGCAGTGGCTCAGAGAGGTGTCTGGACCCGAGCAAGCTTGCACAGCAACTCCATGGCACAGCCAGGAGCAGGAACGCTGCCACGTGCACCCTGGGGGTGTTTGCTGGGCGGGCTCTGCATTCTACCTGGTCCTCTCTGCTTCGCCTTTCTGGAAGGCATCTGGGGCCAGGCTGCACGCTGGGAGAGCCTGCCTAAGCCCCCGTTCCCACCTTAGTTACGACACTCGCTTTCTCGCTCTTTCCTTCCCCCTTCAGGACGGGCAGTACATGGGACTTGACTGACTTGCCTCATTCGGGACCCTGGATAAAGCACATTGACTCCGTTTCCTCGGCTGAAAAATGCTGTTTCCTACATTCTTAGCTGTGATCCAGAAGGAAAAACAAATCACTGCAGAAGATGGCAATGAAGCCTAATTTTAGAACTGTGAAATGTGGAAAATGAGAAAAAGTTGGACTCAAGAATCCAGGGAACAGGATAATAGATACCTGTCCTTCAGCTGTCCTCCGAATTTCCTGACACTCTTTTTATTTCAAGACCCTCTTCCATCCACCAAACCCTCCCCTTCTTGTAAGGCTCAAATCCCTAAGGCCAGGACCTCGGTTCTCTGAACCAGCCTGGGATGTAGAGCCTGGTGGACACTGTAACCATTCTACGGCAGATTTCCTCATGATAATCTAGTCTTCCTGAGACACACGTTCCTACCCCATTTAACGTGCCCTGACCATATCAGAAGGTGACGGCGGCTAAATTCATGACATTTTTGGTATGAGGACAAGGAGAACAACGGGAAAGAAGAAAGGGCCAAGAAGGAGACTTTCAGGTACTTGGAAATCTGATCTGTCACAGTGAGAAAAAAAGAGACTTTCCGCGGATGTAGGTTAACTGGTTATCCATAAGGGAAAATAAACCCCTACCTCACACCTTACATAACTAATTAATTCTAGGTGAATGGAAGCCACAAAATAAAAGCAAAGCCTTAACATTTCTAAGCCTTCATGACACTACTTTATGACCACGAGGTGGGAAAGAGACTCCTATACTAGAAACAAAAACACAAAGCAAAAATTATGTCCTCCATATACTACTGGAAAACTGTGTTAAAATTTATGTCCAGACACTCTTCAAAATGCGAGGGGTGCTGTTAATCTTTCCGCAGCCCCAGGAGCAGGGAACGACCTGACCTGGCAAGCTGGGGCTTATGGTCACCCTGTGGAAACAGGACAAGGTCAACTAACACATGGAAAGATGCCGGACGGCACAAGGAAACAGGACAGTGCCAAGTAAACTACGACACCATCTTACACCTGTCGGAGGAGCAAACTGCAGCCTGGCAGAATCACGAGCTGGTCCGAGCGTGAGACTGGCCGCGGGGGCGCTGCTGATGGAAGCGCTCTGCTGACAAAACCCCTGGGAGAAGCGTGAGAACAAGGGTGAGGCTGAGGACGCACGAGGCCTCTGCCCGGCACGTCCAAGTCGAGAGGCGTGTCCCGGGCAAGTGCTGGAGGAGCACCGGCCTCAGGCGAGAGGCCCTCACTGCGGCGAGAAACTGCCAGCCGCCCACATCCAGCCGCAGGAAGAGAGACACGAATTCTATTATGTGACAGAACGGAGTAGCACACAGCGCTTAAATGAGCCTCCAGACTCCTGGGTGGGATGAACAGACACACATTACAACATGTAACGTGGAACTACATACAGTATCTGGTAATAGCATATAATGGAAAAGAATCTGTGAAGAAAATATACATGTATGTATGTGGATAACTGAGTCACCTTGCTGCACACCTGAAACTAACATTGTGAATCAACTACACTTCAATAAAAAATAAAATTTAAAAAAAAAGAGCCCTCCAGAGACACGTCAACATGGAGAAACCTCAGAAACATTATTTTATCCAAAAAAGGTGCACACGATGCATGTGGAACTACTTACAAAGCCTAAAGACACGCAAAACCCATGCTGTTCGTTTTTATGGCTGAATATGCAAGGAGTAAAAAAATTTTAAATGCACAAAGGGACAACCAACACCGGTTTCACAAGAGTGGTTTCGCTTCTGGGAGGAGAAGCTATGGATCACAAAGAAGTAAAACCAGAAGCCGGTTTGGCAAAGCTGAAGCAAGTGTGTTGGGCACACGAGCATTTGTTCTCTTTTTCTCCAGAGCAGTCAGTCCACCTGAAATTAAAGACCCTCAGGGCAACTGAGAACCAAGTGGGACCCACAGCCCGCCCTCCGTGTCCAAGGTCCTCTGCATCCTCGGACTGTGTAGCACTGCAGGCCTTCATGTGTTAAAAAATCCAAGTGTAAGTGGAGCCGCGCAGTTCAAACCTGTGCCTCTCAAGGGTCAACTGGTATTTCTCTCACACACAAAATAACCGACTGCAGGAGGATCTCCTGGGCCAGGGGCCCGTCTGCACTGCTACGGCTGTGTGTCCTGACCCACAGCCCTCCCGGAGACCAAGGGCCTCGGGCCCACTGCTCAGCAACTGCCACGCACCCCCAGCGCCAGCCCCTTGGTGCCAGCGACATGCTGGGGCAGGGGGTCCCAGACACCGGCAAGGGCAGCACTTACGCACACTCGCTCACACACCACCCGGACTCTGCCCCTGAAATTAAAAACCACCTGCTTACACCTATCAAAATTCATCCAATTGTACATTTGAAATATATGTAGTTTGCTGCACAGGAATCATATCACAACAATGATGTTAAAAATTTCTTAATACAAATAAAAACCACCTGCAGGGTGAGGTGTACCATGCCTGCATATAGAAAGTCATCAGATACCGCAGCTGTGAACATCACAGCGTGCAGCTGCCAGGGGTTCTCCGCACGCCCCCACAACTGCCTTGGGGACCTGGCCAGCACCCAAATTTGGCGCCCAGACTCACCTCTGGGCTCACCACTTACTAGTGGTTAAATGACCCCCTTTACAAGCCTCCAAAGTGTGAACAGCACTGGCCGTTGCAGGACTGAAGGCACAGCCAGCACAGAGTGGCTCAAAACCTCCCCTGCAGTGACATCACTGAGGAGAACTCGGGGGAGGGGCCCCTCCTGCTGGTGGTGGCCTTTCTGCAGCCTTGCCCAGGGCTTCAAGGCCATTTCCTCCACGGACCCTGCCCCGCCCTCTACTCTGGAGCTGTTAAAGCCTTTTAAAGGCCAGCAGGGAAGGAGCCCCAGGGCCAGCAGGTGGCCGCCAGCCCAGCCCAAGAGAACCCAGGTGACAGGGAGCGGCAGGGGCCGGAGGAGGGGAGGTCACAGGCTCCACCCCCACCGGCAGGGCCGGTGGGGCTCAGTGACCCCCGCCCACATCAGGGCTTCGGCCTTCGGGGAGGGTGGGGCCCCTCGGCTGGACCTAGGCTCAGGGAGGAGCCTGGGGCATCATCCGGAAGAGTGGCTCAGACTTCGTCCCAGGGCCCAGGAAAGCGTCTCTGCAGCCCAGCCTCCATCCCTTTGCCCTTCCGGCCTCCGCCCCACACAGGGAGTAGCAGCAATGGGAGAAGGAGGACAAGGAGCAGCGGGGATAGTTAGAGAAAGCTTTTCTGGGGAACCAAACACACCCGCACCCGTAGTCCATGCCGGGCCCCACCCAGCAGGTGCTCGGCAAACCTGAGCGTCCTCCCATTCCTGGTGTCACCCACAATACCCAGGGTCCTTCAGCCAAGGTAGCAGCAAACCCCCTCCAGAAAGGGCCAGGAGGTCACTATGCGCGGCCAAGTGGGCCCCAAGATCTGTCACCACGGCCAGGCCCTGCCTTTGTGACCAGGAAGCAGCCACGGACAACACATGAATGAATAAGACCGGGGTGCGCCAATCAGAGTGAAACTGGGATTTTCACATCATTTTCCCTCTTCCTGCTGGCCTCTTCCTCCTAACTTCTTTTGGCACTTTGCAACCTTGCCCTTGGCTGTCACAGCTCTCAGAGGCCAGCGACCAGCTCACCTGAACACACGTGCACGCACACACGCACACACCAGCCCCTTGCACAGCACTGGCACGTTCAGGTTTCTAACTAATGGTGGCAGAACTTGACATTAAATTCCCTAAAGCAACTCACAGAGCTGGAACTAGTCAGCCAAACCAAGAAGAGCGTGAAAAGACGTCCAACCTCGCTAGTGGTCAAAGACACACCAAATGAAAACAACGTAATGCCAGGCTCATCTATCAGATCAGCAGAAGGTTCAGAGCTCGCTGACATCCCTCAAGGACAAAAGGTGGGGAAGTGAGCACTCACACGGGCTGGAGGTGCCTCCTGGGCATTCCGACAACACCCATCAATATGAAAACGCACACAGCCTGTGACGCAGCACCACCAGGACCCCCCTCTACAGAACTGCCGGCAAACATTCAGTGTGAACTATCAGCAGGAGGCTACTCAGGGTAGCCGGGCTGTTCCAGCTACAAACAAAATAAGCTAAACTGTCAACAGCGCTGTTATGACCAAGCAATGAAACAGCATGCGGTTACGGAAAACAAGGCGCACACCTGAACCAGGTGGTCAGAGCGCCGGTGCCTCGGAGGAGCTGATGAGCTCACGGGACCCAGCCTGGGTCTGACCGGCAGGAAGCATCAGGCAAAGCCAAAACTGAGAAACCCTGACAGTCACTTGGCCTAGAGACAAGGCAGGGCTGAGGGCAGTGCAGATTAAAGGAGGGGAAAGAGAGAGACAAGGAAACGCAGTTCATCGTTTGGACAGGACCTGGGATCAGGGCGAAAACTGCAGCAGAGGACGGCCCGGGACACGGGCCGCAGCACAGAGGGCTGGGCAGAGGGCGACGCATTTCCTGAATTGGATCCTGGAAATACGGTGGTGCAGGGGAATGTCCTTGCTTTAAGGAAACACCCGCTAAAGTAGTCTGACGTCTCCAACTAGCTCTAAAATGATTCAGGGAGGAAAACGTATACAACAGAGATGAAAATGTGAAAAACTGACCAGTCTAGTGAAGGCTGCACGGAAGCTCATCGCACTAACCTTTCTACCCTTCCAGTCCGAAATTTAACATTACTTTGAATTGAAAGTTAAAAAACAATTTTAGAGGGTGGGGGTATAGCTCAGTGGTAGAGCAAGTGCTTAGCATGCACGAGGTCCTAGGTTCAATCCCCAGTGCCTCCATTAATCAGAAGTAAATAAAATACATAAAAAGCTAAACCTAATTACCTTCCTCCCCAACAAAAAAAAATCTGAAACCAGAGATGAATTCCCAGTACCTTTATGAAAAAAATTCAAAAAATTTTTTAATTAAGATTAAAGATGTATAAAATAAGCTACAAGGATATATTGTACAACACAGAGAATATAGCCAACATTTTATAATAACTATAAATGGACTATAACCTTTTAAAATTGTGAATTGCTATATCGTACACCTGTGCCTTGTGTAATACTGTACGTCAACTTCTAAAAAAGACAATGGGAACCAAAAAACACGATTTAAAAGAAATAAGATCTAGATTTACAATAGAAAAAAAATCCGCCACACACACACACACACACACACACACACACACACGAG